TGAAGGAATTGGCAAAAAATAAGGCCCTGGAAATTGATGGAATACCAATTGACATATTTCAACAAAAAGATGCTGCCCTGGATGTGCTCACCAGGCTGAGCCAAGAAATTTGGAGGACACTTACCTGGCCAATGAACTGGAAGAAATTTATATTCATTTCCATTCCAAAAAAAGGTGATCCAACAGTGTGGGAATTATTGAACAATATCATAAGTGACTTAACATCACATAACAACAGCAACAACATCACTAATATCATATGTAAGCAAAATCTTGCTAAAGATTATCCAAAAACAGCTGGAATAGAGAACTACTAGAAATACAGGCTTGGTTTAGAAGAGGCTACTGCGGTAGAAACATCATTGCCAATATCAGATGGACCTGGGCTTAAAGCAGAATGTCGTGTTTTATCAACTATGTGAAGTCATTTCACTGTGTGGATCACAACAAATTGTGGCTAAGATTGAGAATAATGGGTATTCCAGAATGCTTGATTGTGCTTATGCAAAACCTATACTTAGACCAGGAAGTAGTTTTATGGCACCAACAGTCAGGGCTCAAAAGATAAATTGCATTGAGAAAGTCTGTTGTCATGGACCTCTTCAGAATGTTAAAGATGTTAAGTCTAGAGACTAAGGTGTGGCTGATCCAGTCCATGGGATTCTCAATTACTTACTATTCACTAGAGAGCTGGACAATGACTAAGAATAACAGAAGAATTGATGCCTTTGAGTTGTGGTGGTGGAGAAGAGTATTTACTATGAATTGCCAACACTTGATCTGTCCTGGAGAGGGTGAAACTGGGTTTCTCCTTGAAGGCAAGGATTTTGAAATTCCATCTGACATACTTGGGGCCTTGGAAAAAGAACAACATGCTTGGTAGGTTGGAGGGTCAGAGAAGAAGAGGAAGACCCTGGACGACATGGATTGACAGTGACAGTGGAAACAAGGGCAGGTGTTTCAGAGATAGCAAGACCGGTTGAACATCGGGTAGGGTTCAGACATCTTGTACATTAGGTTGCCATGAGTCTTAGTGTATGGGAAGGCACAACACAACAACCAATGTAACTAAAGGTCCTTGGAGATGACAGAGTAGGGGGAAACACGCTTGTTTTTTGAAATGGTGATATGCCTAAGAGCAAAAGCCCATATAAAGGTCCAGGGAAAGTGAGACAAATTACAGGTCAAAAGGAGAGCTGAAGATTTTAAATTTGTAGGTTTCTGGTATGTGGGAGAAAACATTACCTAGCTAAAGGCATTTCAGGGACAGTTTGAATTGCCTAAAAGCTCTAAATAAAAAAAGAAAATTATCTGTTTTAATCTATGTTTCACTTCTTTGCTTAACTTTGTGCCAAAAGCAAAAAGCAGAACTGTCCCACAGGAGCTGTTCAGTTGTAGTCTTGAATCTGATCTTCAGGTCTCTAGCCGCAGAGTTGCTGGGTGGAATTCAAACTACCAACCTTTTCTTTAGTCATAGAGTGATTAAACATTTTGGTACCAAAAGACTATGCGATTTTTTTTTTCTTAATAAGAATCTTTTTTAGTATTAAATGTTTTTTTCACAATAGGATCCATACTTCTAAAAATACATACCTCATCCTGTAGAAAAAAGTATTATCCTCAAAACATGGCTTTATAAAGTAATTTTAAAATCCTCTTTGTGCGTTTGCATATTTACTATCTTTTTTACAATGAATTGCTTCCTTTTGCAACTAGAAGAAATACTAGAACAAAAGAAAATCTCTCGTATCCTTTCTTTCTCTAGGTTTTGGCACCATGTTGTCCTCCATGGCCCTTCTTTCCATTCTGGTCTTCACTCGCTCAGCTGAAGTGGTGGTTCTGTTGCTGTTCAGAATGATGAAGAAATCAGCAAGCCTGAAGAAAAGGAACAAGTCCAGCTGTAAGAAGTCATCTATTGAGGTTTCTGATAAGTTGAGCTAGAGTGCTGGGTGTTAAACATGTCTTCCACAGGATTTTGCTCTGTGGACAGTTCTCAGAGCCCTGCGTTCAAGCCTTCCTTTCTCCCAGGGCACTTTTAGTTCCACTGATGCATTTCTTTCTTTTTTAAAAATTTTTTAAAATTAATTTTAATGCAAGTTTACAGAGACTTAGGGTTTCCATTCATTCATTCATTGTTGCATTTTTCTTCCTGCCCCCCCAATTCACTCTTCTCCTTGAAAAGTAAAACTCTTTTTTTAAAAAATTATTTTTTATTAGTTTTTGTGTGTACTATAAAATTGGATCTGACTGGTACAGGAGGAGAATGTCCCTCCTTTACTAGTAGAGCATCTGGTGGATTCGAACCACATACCTCTGGGATTGCAGTGCAGTAAAGTAAAACTCTTTCATTGTTATGCAATCTCTCCCCTCAAGTCCACTCCACTGTGCTGTCTTCATTCTGGACTCCTGTCATGACTATAATACCTAATCATATATCCCTTTTAAACTGTTCTCTCCCTCATCTGTTTCAATGCAGTATACATCATTCATCCCCTCCTTCTCTGTTTTCCCTGATGTCAGTCCCGTTTTACAACAGTGGCTCTATGCAGTATTTGTCCTTTTGTGAGTGAGATATTTCACTCAGCACTCAGGGTCACTCTTTTTTTTTTTTTTTTTGCTAGGGTCATTCATTTTGTATAATATTTCATGAGTTCCTTATATTTCAACGCAGCATAGTATTCCATTGTGTGACTATACCAGAGCTTCTCTATCCATTCGTTTGTTGATGGGCACTTGTTTCCAACTCTTTGCTATTGTGAACAAAGCCGCAATAAACATGGGTGTGCATATATCTGTTTGGGTGGCAGTTATGGTTTCTTTAGGGTATATTCCCAGTATTGGAATTGCTGGGTCAAATGGTATTTCTATTTCCAACTTTTTGAAGTGCCATACTGCCTTCCAGAGTGGTTGCACCATTTTACACTCCCACTAACAGTGAATAAGTCTCTCTACCTTGCCAGCATTTGTTGTTTGCTGCTCTGTTGAATTTTGCTATTCTTACTGCGGTGAGAGGATATCTCATAGATGTTTAAGACTATGCTACTTTTATAGTAACATTTCACTTATACCTTTATTCAGCTTTAAGATCTGAGAACTGAGTACCATAACAGTAAATGTTTTATGTTAAAGGGTATTAGATACCAGAGATCTCTGTTAAACAGGTTGGCTAGATAGTACTTTGGTCAAGAGGTACTTAATATTTTGCTCTAGTTTCCTACGAAAGCAAATCTGCAGTTTTAGCGCTTTAGTGCTTTGTAAAATGCCCGTCTAACTTTTTTTCCTCCAGTCACTGATTGTCATAGGTCTCATCTGGAGAACCAAGGAGTTTTTTAAAATAATCATGGTTTTCAAGCAAAAGGACACTACTACTATTTTTCTATTACAGTTGCTCTGGGTAAAAGTTATGTGCATATTTTTTGTAAAATTCAAATGTCTTCTTTGAACCTAGTAAATGATTATGTCAAAGTCAATGTCATTTCGGGTAAGACTTAGCTGCCACATTTTTTGAAGAGAAACCCAGATATTTTGCTCACTGTGCTTAACCACGTAGACTGTGCTGCATCAAGTTGCTTGCTCAAAGTATGCCATGAGGAAGCCGTGAACTGCTTAAAAGGCCAGAGACTGAAACAGCAGGTTGCACAACCCTTCACCACCGGGCGGTTTCGCTTCCAAATCTGGCCTTCGTGTCATCCCCCAGGCAGGAGCCGCTCTTCACTAGTGCCAGCCCGGGCCCCTCACAAGCAGCCAGGTTTTCCAAGTCCGCGTCTCAGGAGCCCCTCCCTTCACCCAAGGTTCGCGTGAAAGCTAAGGCGCGCGAGCAGGGGGGTCCCCGGTGACCTCTTTGTCCGGCTGGGGAGACCGGGTATCCCCGGGGCAACTCTCGCATCTGACTCAAATCAGCCCGGAGAACCTAGGGTCCGCTGGTCTCCGCGCCAACCCCCTCCCCCGTGGCTCCATTGTCTGTCTCGCCCCGCCCCGGGGGACACGTGCGCCTGCAGATTCCCGAGTGAGAAGAGCGCGGGGCGACGCGGCGTGGACACTGCCTGGAACGGCTACTGGGCTGCGGCGCCGGGGGAGGGGGCCGGGAGCTCACAGGCCGGTGGGTACCCTCAGCGGAGCTGCACTGGCACCACGCGCCCCCCGCCCAGTGCTCAGCTGGCCCGGGACCGGGCGGGGGAGGGGCGGGCGGCCGCCGG